CACACACACACACACACACACACACACACCAAAAAATTATAAACAGATAAATGAAAAAACGAACCAAGTCCAAATATAAACATAAGGAACACCACCAAAGCAAAACAAAACAGAACTAAAGATTTTAACAGCAAATAGGCAATAATCTAAAAAACAAAAACAAAAACAACCCAACCACAAGCCCCCCTCCACCAATACAGTTGCAACAAAGCATTACGAATACGAAAGAAACAACTCGTTATCTTCCAAATTGCTCTTTGCTTTGTTGAATTGCTTTATTGAACTATGGGAGCAATGGTCACTTTCTTCGACTTCCTTTGAAATTGAGTTAATATATTGCGTGTAGTTGGCCATAGAAAGCTTTGACAGTGTATTACATGTATATTGAATATGGCATTACGTTACAGTTAAACTTTGACAAAAGGCGAAATATGAAAGGCATCGTCTTTCACTTTCTATTGCTGTGTTGACTCTAATCTGCACCGCCAGTGTTGAGCTCATCGGTGATGTTTCTTTAATGATGGCACTGGGCTACAGGTGCAAAGCTTTGCCAGAGTTTAAACAGCTCACAAAATTAGTCTACAACTTTTTGTTGTTGACGTCTGAGTGAAGCTTGAGATACGTTGTGAGAAGCGACAAGCTGTACGTCTGGCGGAGTTTTGACGAATCAACTCTGACGTGACATGACGTGTGCGCCAGTCGAGTGTGGCAAATGAGACGAGGAAATTGCTCCCTGCCACCCCTCATGTTTCCGCTGTTCTGTTTGTTGCCGCGATTGTTTTTCGTGTTTGCATTTTTCGGATCCGTGCACACGTACCAGGTGTGTAAAAAAGGATAGGACCAAGTCAAAGGGTAGTAATAGTTCGGTCATCAGTGGACCAACTTCAACAAAAATTTACACAAATAAGGCTATCAAGAGACTTCAAATTCTGCAATACGAAGAAAATCAATTTTTATCATCGATACTTGTCAAGTTTTAAACATTTCAACAAAAATGGAGTGAAACGTAAACTTCTTTAATAAAAAAATAAAAATCAACCATCGTGTGTATGTGTGCGCTAAAGAATAACTTAATATAAAACTGCCACTGCCAAATTAACCCAGGGAAGGTTCTGGCTATTTATATTGTATGGTGCGTGTATTGACCTGTTCTCTCCAGACATGGACAAATGCACCCTTCTGAATTTTTAGATAATAATAATAGGTTTAACCATGTGTTATGTTTTCTGGGTTGATTGTTTAGACTTCCTCACATTCAGCTTTAAGTGTTACGATTGTTTTGGGGGTAAAATCAACAGCAGCAGCATCAACAACAACAACAACAACAACAACAACAACAACAACAACAACAACAACAAACTTAAAACCAACCCAAAGGAAATAATCCAGCGGGTTCAATTCGAGGGGAAAATGGCGACCTTGTAGGCCTAAGCTTTGGGCTTATAGGCTTTTCCCAAACTTTTTTTTGCAACCGTGCGGGGTCCGACGTTGTGTCCTTGGGAAAGGCACTTGACACGATTGTCGTCACTTCACCCAGGTAGGAATGAGCACTCATAGACAACGAAAGATCGTAAGTCAGTTTGTTAGCGTTTGAGTGCGTGCATTCCGCAGAGCGTGGGGGCGCTATATAATGGAATTTCATGTGTTATAATATATACTCAAAGAAAAAAGAAAGTGTACATATTTTAAATAGCCACAACTTAATTAATTGAAGGTTGATAGTCTCCAAATTTTGCACAGAAGCTGACGTAAGTTGTTTCCGTAAGTTGCACGAGTTTCAGCTGAAAATTGGTCGCTTTTAGGGACAAGCGGGCTAACCCTGATTTCGGGGGTTTCCAGAAATCTTGACCTATACCAAAAGTGGGCATTGCCCTACCTATAGGAGAAGTTTGGTTTCATTTGTGTGTATATAATTTGTTTGGTTATAGAAAAAACTCGCCTTGTCTTTTAAAGAAACTGAACAAAGGGCAAAAACTTAACATTCGATTTCCTCAAAACAGTATTTTTCGGGATAGCCCCCTTGTGTTTAAAATATAAAAGCGACCAATTCTTGTTTGTCGATGGTTTTAAATTCATTCAATTACCGTATAACGTAACTGTTTGTACATGTGCTTAGAATTTGAGTCCTAGATTCATTTCCTTTGCTTTTGGAAGACCTGAGAACAACAACAAGGTTAAGTCATATTTTCCTAAAAATAGAGTTCTGCATTTCAATCGAAAGCTGTGACAAAGGGCTATCTATGTCAGTCATCAATGCAGCAGGTGGCCACAGGCTGAATTGTCTACGTTCTCCAATGTTAAAGAATGTATACAAGCTGTCTACGTTCTCTAACGAATCAAAATTTATAGTACAAGCCTCTATTTGAACTTCCGGATGAGGCTGGGGTACTTTTCAATCGTTCTTCTTTTTTCTTAAAATTGGTTTGCTCCATGTTTTGTCGTTGGATCTACATCATAGCCTATGGGTCCGCCAGGTCACTCGCTGGGTTACATTGGGTTATTTTATGGTAGAAGCGACTGCGGGTTTGATTTAAATGTCTATTGAAATCAAAACTGCCCTGAGGGGCATAGATATCTACATTGGATCTATCGTGGACATAGTGTTGATGTGACTGACTTGACCTTGACCCAAGTGATTTGATTTCATGGCAGACGTGATGTCACATCACACACCAAATCGACAATGTTTTTCCACACATTTGAATTTGATATCATTTAGCCGTTTGCCTATCATGGTTTCTCACTCTCTCACGTTGTATCCCATACCTTAGCTTTGAGGTGGGAATAAGGGAATACGAAATCGCATGTAAACTGCAAGCTATCTCTTAAATACAGGCGGTGCTGATTTTGTGAATTTGGAAATAGGGGGGGTTCAATTTGTGATATCGCATTTTTGTGCGAAAATAAACACTTCAATGAACAATTGTTTATCCTCATGACCTCTTCCTTGAATTGTGTGTCGTCTTGAAAGGGAATGGATTCCGTTCGAAAAAATAGTTTGCAAGTATGATAAAATATTTCATTTGTTTGCACACTTTCTTTTCTCAACGAGTACATTAAATATCGTATGTCGTATGTATTTGTGTGTGTGTGTGTGTGTGTGTGTGTGTGTGTGTGTGTGTGTGTGAGCGCGCGCGCGCGCCCGCGCGCACAAGCGCGAACACACACATTCAGGTACTCATACTTACAAAAGTCCCTCACGACTCACATAGTTTGTTTTAGCCATGCACACACATACACTCGCTCTCTCTGACACATACACACACACACACACACACACACACACACACACACACACACACACACACACACCACACACACACACACGCGCGCGCGCGCGCACGCCTTTTCCCCCATACGGCCGTTAGTCTGAACAGGCGCGTTGTCACTTGATCTGTGTAGACGTTATTTCTTCCAATGGAGGATGAATAGATAAATCTACCTTGGTTTGTCTCATGTTTACCGCATTTTTTGTCGTTGGTTACCTCTCACTTGGACAACAGATTGCTGTCTGCCGTATCGTGCAGCTGTCGGGGACGAACGCATTATTACTATGCAATTTTTGATTAGGTGGGTCCAACATTCCTTTCTTTACAATTATTTTACAAAAGAGATAACTGATTTTTGACGTCCATCCCCGATGTGAGCGAGCTAAGTGAGTGGAGAGCGTTGAAAAAATCTCTAAACAACCCTCGTTGAAGACAGTTACTCGTTGATTTTGAACTAAAGGGGTCTCCTCCGTTGCTCAGCCTGATATCAACTGAACTAGAAATAATGTAATTGTAGATGTTTTACGTCCTCCTCGATGTAATCGAGATACTTTAGGAAGTGGGCTGCATATACCCTGCCTCTTACGGCCATCCCAGGCTGAGACAACGTCTCAGAGAAGAGAGATGGAGATACTCATTGAGAGTTCTATCCATATGGGAATCGAACTCACAACTTCTGCGTCCGACTGTGAAGTGCCTATACATGTACTTTTACACTACCAACGTCGGTTCATTTGAGCTCACAGCGCGCCCCGAACTGTTCCCCTGTATCGAGTTGACGATAATATTGTAGCAGCTGCTATAGGAACGTGACTGCAGTGGTGAGCGTTTGTGTCGTTACAGTTGCAACAGCATCAACAGCAACAGTAATGCTGGTAATAACTTCAGGATTAAAAAGAATATTCGGACCCCTCCTTTCAAAACATGTTTTATAATAGGCCTACTGTAGGTTAAAGGCGTCTTATTTCTTGTGTGACGCCACGGTAACCCAAATGTGCCCCAACTGAGAGTGGAGGCCCTGGATGTGCGCACTATTCATAAGTCAAATGAATTCTTAATTAATAGAGGGCTATAGCTTACTTTTAACACGATAGGGAAGCTGCTTCTTCTTCTTCTTTTTCTTCTTCTTCTTCTTCTTCTTTTTCTTCTTCTTCTTCTTCTTCTTCTTCTTCTTCTTCTTCTTCTTCTTCTTCTT